CACACCAGTATCAGCCTTGGCAGGATAAATCTCCCCAGACTTATCCAATGGGTGTGAATATTTAAAACTAACACGAGTCTCTATAAGTGTCCAGTTTTAGGGTCTTACACAGAATTAAACYAAACAACATGAATCAAGCATGCACTTTATTTATTTCCACTAAATAACAAAAGTACATCAAATCGGATTGAAGCTAAGGGCATACAAGACTGTCTAACATAATCGCCACTATCAGCCTGCCACAGCCGTTACAGACAGGGCTGAGGTGGCACGCGCGGGATCACCACTGCAGGGTACGTACCTGTCTGGTACAAGACACCTTCTAGAGGCGGCAGGCACGACACTATCTGACAAGGGACATGGCGGCTATCCCAGATCTGTCGGGTACGGTGGTCGAGCAGGAAGCCTTCCTGTGGTAGGCCGAACTACCCTTCCAAGAATTACCTTTCGCCGGGCTGTCTCTTGAGTGACGAGCTGCCTGTAGCAAGTTATGCCGAGCTGACTGACCCGAGGTGTCTATGCCTCGGGGTGTCCAGAGGTGAATCGGTGCGTTCCTGTCTAGGAGTGGCCCGAGATCCATTGGGAGGAGCTCGGGCCTCAAGAGAGGTCAGGGTACCCCGAACTCGGGGCGCTCCGAAGTACCTTAACCCTCTGGGGGAGGTTCAGGTAAGGCGGCTTCCGGCAAGTAGTTTACCTGCCCAGTTGCCGAGCTGAACTCGGTGGGTCCTTCCCTTCGAGTTGTGGTTGCATCCGTTGCGCTGTCACGCTGAGTCACTGTTTGAGCAAGGTCACGCCCACGTGTACCCGTGCTACGAGGTCGGGTCAAATCACCCTCTATCAGGTATCTTGGTCAATGGGAACCAACTTCCCCCTTCCAAAATCCAAAAAAAATAACTGGTCCTTGTATAATGGTAAAATCCCAAGCTATCAAGTATAAAAAAACAGGTTCAAGTCTGAAAACAACCACTTTGTACAAAGAAAAAAAAAACTAAAACACAGCATTCTTAATACAATAAAATTCCGATTCTGCCCGCAAACAAAGGTATATACAATGCAAGAACATTGGAGTGTTCACTCTTAATTGATTATGTAGCCTAAGGTATACAAAACACTGACCTATTGTATCAATATTTTGATCCTGTTGATATCTTTTTTGGTTAAGGGATCATTACAAAGCGTACAAAAGTAAGAAATAATATCAATGTTTGATGCAATTCCCCATATCAACTAAATTTCTTTGCCATGTTAATCATCCTTTATTGTGAGTCAGGTGGGAGCACAATCTTATAGCTTTTATCAACCATGCCAAACTCAAATTTGATTAATGTTGACTAGAAAGTAAGATTTACATGTGCAAGATCTTTTCTTTTTTCCTTATAAAGCGGAATCACATTATCATTTGCAAGTTGCACAGGTTGTGTTTGGTTGTAATGCAAATAAATTTGCACTGATGCAAAATCATGGCAGTGTAAATGATTTGAGTGTAAATTCTGACATATTTTTGTATCAAATTTTAATTTATTTTATTTGATTGCAGTACAAATGAAGTAAAGTAAGATATGAAGCAGAATAAAGTAAAATCAAAAACAAAATTAAACAAGAATTTGCATTTTTTACATTTGCACTCCCATGTATTTGTATTAGTGCAAATAAATTCACTGCAACTAAACACAGCCATAGGGAAAAACAAATCTAATAGCTGTTTTATTTAATTTCGGTTACATCTTGTTTATTCAATTCAAATTAAAATTCCGTTCTTTTTTTTATTTTGTAATCTTTCTAATCTGATTTTTTATTTTCAAGGTATTAGTATATTCATACATGTTTTGAGGAGCAAATGAATGTTATGTAAGAACTCTTGAAAATAAAATAAAACTTAGAAAAGGGATTGTTTATTGATGATCTGAAGCATGAAGCTGGTGGAACTCATCTTGCAAATTTTCTATTGCAGCTCAGCCTAATTGATGAATAGTAACAATAGTCATAGGATTTGATATCTTTTATGATAGAAAACAATGGCATAACTTTTCTTTTTATGGGTTGGTAAGGTCTCCTATAGAAAACAATAGCATCTCCCCTTTTGAGGGAATGGCCATTCCCTCCCTTTCCCTTGAGAATGAGAATCCATTCCAGCTAATCTCAATTCTAATTCCCCACTAAACAAACAGGCAGGGGAATAAACCATTCCAATTCAGATTCCAATGAATTTGAATTTTCATTCCAAATGCAATCCAAACAGATCCTAAGCTCTTAAAGAGGAAAATAATATATTAAGTTTTTTGCATAGTTGTCTAGAACTGAAGCCAAGTATTGGCATTGTATGATAAAAATTATTTGCCAACCTCTGAAATAAACTATTCCTATCAGACCCACAGTATAATGACTACCAAATATTTTTCCATAGGCACCATTTGTTTGCAGTGCAATTTTAATTGCACTAATACAAATGCTTGGGAATGCAAATGAAAAGAGCACAAATTCTGATTTAGGCTGTGTTTCGTTACAGTGCAAATTTATTTGCACTAGTACAAATGCATCAGAGTGCAAATGTAAAAATTACAAAATTTATGTATAATTTTGTTTTGGATTTTACATTGTTCTGTTTTATGTCTTAATTTACTTCATTTGTACTGCAATCAAACAAAATAAGCTAAAATTTGAAACAAAAATAGGTCAAAATTTACGCTCAAATCATTTGCACTGCCATGGTTTTGCATCAGTGCAAAATTATTTGTATTGCAACCAAACACAGCCTTAATTTTTCTGAGGGTTTTACTTGGATTCAACTTTAAACTAACAAATAAGGTAAAAGTGAAAGCAAAAACTGAACCAGGATTTACAGTCATAAAGTTAAAACAAAAAATGAACCAGAATTTACACTCTCATACTTCTACATCAGTTCAAATGAAATTGCACTAGAAACAAATTTTGAGAACAAAAATGGAAAATATATATATATATATATATATATATATGTGTATTTAAATGGTACAATATATATATATATATATATATATATATATATATATATATATGTGTGTGTGTGTGTGTGTGTGTATTTAAATGGTACAACTAAGTAAAAATTTAGATTATAACAGGTAATAGAATAGGCTTTGATTAGATAAAAGGGTTGGGAGAATGGGGATCAACAGTAGATTTTGTTTTTTTGTTGTACAAAAAGACAAGCACTATATAGCTGCCGAGATTCAAATAACCAAGTACAAATTAGGGTTTCTTTTGACAGAGAAGCCTCTAAAACCAAACAACTAAATAACGGAATCTTCCAACTAAATTGTGCAGGAAAGTGTCAAATATTTCCTCATATTTTCTATATTATAAAACATACACTCTTTTTTATTCTACACTGGTTTTGCCTATCTTTGTTCAACTAACATTCATATATGTATAGAGAACAAATAAATATGAAAATCTATGGAATCAACACTCACGGACTTCTCCAAAGTGGGGCTCTATAACCTTATCAGCCTCACTCTGTCATTTTATATTGAACTTCATTGTCATCCCCCTAATCTGTCTTATATCAGGAATTAGCTCAGAGCATATTACAGTATTTCCTCTGAATTTCTTTTTTTTTGGGTTTAAAAAAAATAATTATTTTATTTCTTTGTTCTGGGTTTTGGTCTTTGATCTTTTCACTGTCGGGGCCAATGGGGTTTATTTTGTTTTATTTTTGGTATTGTACTTTTTTGCTTTCTGATTGGTGTCGGTGGAATGCTGCCGCCGGGAGGCTCCACCACCTCCATAATTGCCCATTTGGTCTACCAATTCATGACCCAAGTCTTTGTCTTTTTGAGTTTTTTTTTTTTATGGGTTATCTTTTTGAGAGATTTGATGCATCATATTTATCACGAGACCTAAAAAAACCCACCACTTGCTTCTGCCTCTCTTAACTCTACTCACGTGTAACTCTTGAAAATTCAATTCTCTCTCTCTGAGAGGATTGATTGAGTCAAAGAGGGTTTCTTCCTATATACGAACTCCCCCGCAAGATAAGAGATTGGAATCAGAGATGGATTCAAGCCAGTAGATATTGGTCATAGATCCGACGTTTAAGAGTCACATTCTTCATGGGGAACGCTGCCAGCGTCACAGTCCTTGTGAAACTTGTACAAGAAACGAAGAAGAGGAAAACAACAATAGAGATAGGATTTCAATTCTCCAAAACCAAATTTGGGGTCCCCACTGGCTTGAATTAAAAGGATGTTAACGTCTTCATCGCTGGTAGATCCCTGAAAGCTACATATTTTCATGTCACAATTCACAAATAGTAGCAGGGAAAAGGGTCCCCTCCCCTGCAGCTGGGTTTGTACTATAGATGAATTCCAGGCCACAGATTGGAGCTATACTTGTTCACGAATTGCCACCACTCAATCTACAAGAACAAGAGTCCTCTGCGACTCTGCCCATTTTCAGACCGAACCCTATTGGTGGTAAGTCTTCTTTACCCAATTATCAAGTTTCAACCAGACCTTGACCTGGGTGCTACTCTTCTTTGTCAACCTTTGAGCCCCCACCCAAATGAAGTCTTGGTTCAAATGGGTGAACCTGATGAAACAGACTTCCTGGGACCTGAGGGGACACCCATTAAAACCCTTATTTCCGTTCTCTTAAACAGATGAAAATGTTCCAGTTGTAGAGTATAGAGTTAAAGACATCAACTAGGATGACTTCCCAACTAGGTATTTTGACTATTTTCCTGCCATCCTTCCCAGAAGAGAAAGCGTTTGAATCCCAAGGATTGCCAACATTGGAGCCTCCTATTCATGCTCTGTTCTCTCTATTAAAGCCCACCCAGAATTCAATATGCCAATAAAAAGCAAACAAGAAACAATAACAGGAATATTTACTAAACTTCATAACTTGTATTATTTTTTTTTTTTTACAATATCTCGTAGAAGTTAAAATTGTTACAAAGTTTCCCCAAGCGTTCTCGGATGAAAAGGCTCCGATCACATCTACAGGAAAGAGAACCATCTAAAAACATATACTTAAGAGACTTAATTAAGATTTAAGGCCGAAAGAATCGGGATTAAAAATCATTAAAAGATAAAAAAAGGAAAAACAAAAGTGGCAAAAATAGCTAATGCATAATAATTCTTCAGGTCAAATCTCCGTGGTACCATGCTGCAAGGTATTGTTGCCACCCTCATTCTTGTTGGACCCCAAGCACCATGCCTGCTCCTTGCTGGCTGAGAGGATTAGTGGAAACTGGACCAGATTTTGCAGAAAAACTGAGACTGTTGGATTCAGGGTTGGTGGATTCATCTAATGACTTGTTGTTGATGTTGTAAGGGGTCATGCTCATCATCCTGCATGGCATCAAGGCGTGTTAAGATGGAAAGACAATTATTTACCACCATATTCATGGGGTCTGTCTGTGATTTCATATGAAGAAACAATAAAAATCAATGCTTCCAACACAATTCAGATCTCCTGCCCACTAGAATCCTACCCACAGGAATGGTAACATGCAAATACGTGAGATGTTCTCAATGTGCAGCTGTAGTGATGTCTGGATAGGGTTCTTGTGGGTAGGAGATCCGCGCACCTTCCTGCATTACTCTGGTGTCCACAAAATTCTCCAGTGGTGATATTAATGGTAATATTCAAAACTGCAAAGTTGTGGCCTTAGTTGAAAACAAGAGTAACTCCAACTACTGACCCCCTCTATAAGTCTCAATGCAGAGTACTCTCATATACTCTTACAACTCAACCATAATCCCAACTATTTGGTTCAACGCAGTGAGCTTAAAATTGTTGTGGTTAGACACTCATCCAACTAAACCACCCTACATCAGTGTACTCGTCCCCATCTTTTACCAGGTATTGGTAAATTACCATTAGAAAGTACAAATTAGAAAGGACCACAGAGTCACTATCCAAATTTCGCAGTTAATAAATCTAAGATAGGAGCAAGCAGTTGGTTCATGAGCATTTATTTATTTGTTTATTTATTTTTGCAAGAATAAATTAATAATAACCCAACCCACAATCAGCAAAGAAAATATTCACAGATCAACATAAGAAATCATCAATTCAAATAGTTCAAAAAATTTACCTCTCCTTGCGCTTCTCCAGAAACCGAGCCAAGGATGCTTTACGGGCTTGAGGCACAGCTGCAGAATAAATACAAGTGTATCATTTCCTATGTGATATATTTCGAATATACCTTCAATTGAATACCACATCTCTTATGGTTCAAGAAACTACAGATGTTGAAAGGCCAAAATAAGTGAGAAGACATACCTGCAGGCATCAGAGTGGGAGTAGCAGAGCTTATAGAAGAAACCATGTTTTGGGGCTCCTGTTGGCAGCTGGGAGCACTCAAATTACCTTTCGGCTTTGAAGCAATTAGCTCATCGGGGCTGCTAGATCCACTACCTGACTGAGCAGTGGCATGTGAACTAACAGAAATGGGGCTTGAGAGACCTGAGCATGGCGATGCAGCATAGGACTGGTTCCCATGCAGACCTTCACTTGCTGCAGGTTTTGGGGTCGGTGCCTGCACTTGAGCTCTTGGGTTTGTCACGGAAGACCCACTTGCAGCAAAGAACATAATAGCCTGAGCCTGAACAGAAATTCACCACCATAAAATAAGACCAAGTTTTCTCAGTGATCACGCACACACACACACACATACATGCACACACACCTATACATAGAGAGAGAGAGAGAGAGAGAGAGAGAGAGAGACCTTTTCAGGAGTGATATCATCATAGACACTGACAGCTCCCCCATAAAAGATGGTCAGTTGAGCAGGTGCTCCTGAGGGCTTTGAAATGTTCCTACAGAGAGATTACAATCCAGTTTAACTTTAAAAGTATTTTTTCAAAAACAGAGTGAGATCTCATGAACCTGAAGATGTTCTATTACCTTGGATCTATGGCCCTTGCCATGGAACTCACTGTAGGAAGAATAGAATGTGAGGTTCCAACAGGAATTCCTCCAAGAGGTTGCTGCTTCACATTAGCAGCAGCCATGCTCTGACCCGTGGTAGCAATGTTAGTCTTGAAGAAAGGGTTGTTCATGGCAACAGAAATTGCTTGGTTAGCTTGAAACATCCTCACATCAGTTGGGCGATGGGTGGCATGGGCATCAACGTGTTGTATAGGATAAGCTGACATTGCATAATGGGTACCCCCTTGCCTATCAAAATTGAAGCTTTTCTGTAAACCAAAAAGCAAGAAAAACAAGACAGAATCAGATCAACCAGTAAGAAAAGAAATTTATATTAATTTCCTGATGTTAGAGAAGTTATATAAAAACCTGAACCATGCCAGAAGTTGATTTGTGATTAGCATCAAAGGCATCTGCTGTTGCTATAGCAGGAATAAATCCAGAAGAGGCAAGGGGATCAAATACAATCTTTTTTGCCCTGTCTTCTTGACCAGCCTTGAAAGGCATAATAAACTGAGGTATGGCAGAGACTTTGTTTGAGAAAGGCCATTGCATGCCTGGACCTCTCATGAAGACTGCAATTTCCAGAGAAAGCAGAATAACCCTAATTAGTTTCACTCACACAGATCGCCACTCTCCAATCTAACAAGAAACTGCAACCCGGATCTAACTAAACATCACAGTTTGAGAAATCAAAGAATCAATCTCCAAAGTTGAGCAGATTGACCAAAAACTGATTCAAATTTCAGAATTAACAATTGGGAAACACGCTGGTTGGTTATGTTCCAATAGAACATAAAATACGTTGCCAATAAAAAAAAATGGACCACTGAACAGAAAACAAACAGGAATCTTGAAATTCTTTATGGGAAGCCACAACTAAGGAGTTGCAAAATATTCTAATTGTTCAGTACAGCTATACAAGTGAGATGAAAATGTTTATAAAACACAAATACTCAAATATACGACAGAAAATAGAGTATGAAAACATTTGATTCCTTCGCATAGTTACAGAAACATTTTCCCACATAAAAAAATGGAGGAGCCAAATATAATTAGTTAAATAGCACATGTAACTAACAGGGCGCATGTTAGAGAAGACTTAGCCAAATAAACAATAAAAAAGTACAATAATTAGGGGATAAACACTAACAAAGAACAGAGACCCATTTGCATGGAGATTCAATGAACATCAAAAGGAGATCCTCAGTAGTAATTTCATGCATGTCCATTAGAGGGGGAAAAACCAAAGACCAAAAAAAGAAAAGGTAAATCTAAACGAAAGGAGCAGTCTAAAGTGAGCTTCTGGGTAGTGTTAAGGTAAAAGGTTTATTCATGCGACCAACTTTGAACTACACAGACGCATGGAAGTTAGTAAATCAAAGCTCATCTCTGAAAGCAAAGAAAACAGAACGCAAAAGCAGGAAAACCCCTTTCTTTTCGCATTCCATTTAATTCGGACTGTGCGACTCTGTGTAGCTATTGCCCTTGCAGAAGGGCGAAGCTGTTAAAAATTCCTGGCGCACGCTAGCACGTCCACCAGTGAATATAAAACAAAAGAAAATAGCAACAAGTTCCAATACACCATTCAGAATCCAAAGGTTGAATCTCAAAATCAAACAACCCAAACTAAACCGCAGAAAAAATTAAAAAAACCAAGAAAATGTCCAAAAAAAATCAATCTTCAACAAAGAGGAACCAGATTCACAACAACCCAGCTCCATTACTAGATATTTAAACATAGCCACAGCGAAATCCAGAGCAACCTTATTAGTTTCAGAGCAGAAACCACGAATTAAGCAAAAGAAGAGTACCTGAATCCTTGCTTGCATCCTTAGTCTCCTCCTTCACAAGCGTCACCGATTCTTTCGAACTCAGACCCAAGAAATCCCTCTCCATCACGGATTTCCGAACACAAACACCCTAAACCTTCACTCTCGGATCAAACCCAACTCCTCAAATCGCTTCAGCTCGACGAATTCCAAAAACCCAGCTCCGAACATCACCAGAAAAAAAGACCACCGATCCCTCCCACACCTGCCGAAATGTTTCGGTCTCCGCAGCAAAAGAAAGAGTGAGGAAATGCTTTTAGTTTTTAGACGACCTCTGCGAGTGTTAGAGAAGCGAAAGAGTGCAAAATCTATTATTATAGTCCCTAATTTCACCAACTCGCTATATCGACCGTCCGATCGTTCGGAATCTTTCCGTGCGCTCTATTACCGACTACTCCGGTCATAACCGTTTCTCCCCGTCTCCACCACGTGCGCCAACAATAAATCACACCTTCTGAAAATCGTGGCCACCTGCCGGTGGTGGTCCTCGCGCCGAGTTCAATCGCACCACGTGGCAACTTTCGTGACGAAAATTCATTAAGCTCGAGCACGAGACACTCGATTGCTTCTCACCCGATAAAAATCGGCGATGTGAACAAATTCCCCGCCATTTTAATCCCCTCGTGTAATTTAATATTTAAAAATCCCAAAATTAAGATTCTTTACCTCATGGGGTCAACTTTATCCGGAAAGAAAGATCAAATTCGATCATATTCCCGATTAATCGTAGGTAGGGTCGAAAGAGTTTTATTCGAGTGTTTCACGGAACACTATAATACGGTGCAAACCGTTGTGAAAAGTCACAATACTTGATGTTATCTGGTCATTTCAGACCGTTAGATGAGTTCACATGAGCTTAATAAAGAGTACATGGTCCATGATGCACATGATGGATTCCTCATTCCTCAGATAGTGCTGTTTGATCATCCAATGAGGAATCTTTTCTTTGTGGGGCCAACTTTGGGCCATCAGTCACAGCAAGTTGCAAACAAAGCCATTTTTTTTAATGGTACAGAAACGTCTAAATATCTACACAAATTGGTTTAAGCCAAATAATTGAAACCAATAACTTTCTTTTAGTGAAATGATGTCATTTACTATACACTGGGGGAATAGGGTTGATGTGGATTGAGCAAATTAGAGATGTGGGCCATTCAAAACTTAGAGAGGTCAGCAATCTAAGCAATCTAATATATGGGTTGATGGACAGAGCATTATGTAGATGTTTTGTCTAAGCAATCTAATATATCAAACTATGATACCAAAAATATATAATACTGGAAAAACTTATAACCTAGGACTTACCAAAGTTCGTCTAATAGTATAATGTTGCATTTTGCATTCCTTATTTTAAGGATTTATTTCTTTTTCCCATTAAAATGTTTTATAACAATAAATTTTTAACTGTAAAAATAAACAAGTCCTTAAAATAAGGAATGCCAAATGTAACCTAAGGCCCATTCTTGCAAAAGAAAAAATAAATCATCAATTACATATTAAACCTGATTTAATTTCATATATTCAATAAGAAACCCAAATCAAATTAATCTCAAACAATAGAATAGGCATAGTTACTTTTGTACTTGGTACGAGGTGGTCATTACCAAGTTGTTTCATTAATTATAACTATCATTGTATTTGGCTAGCAAAAGATCTAGAGTTCTCAATACGTCGGTCCTAGGCCGGTCATGGTGGACCTAGTTCCTAGCCTTGATAAATGAAACACATGAAGCTGGTCCTAACAAGGGATTGAACCGGTCAGGGATCCGGTTATTAGTTCAAATAGTTTGATCGTTCGATCCGAACGATCGGCCTGTTTTGACAAAAAAATTAAAAATTGAAAAATGGTTCGAATGATTAACCAGCCAGTTTAACAATTTGTTGATCAAAATCAACGGTTTTAGAGAAAAAACGGTTTTGAAGAAAAATGAAACCGATTTAGCGATTTGCTGACCGGCCGATTTAGTACAGTGGTATGTACTAAACCCACCCAGACTCAGTCCTGACAAGGCCATGTAAGTATTAGACCTACTATTTATCCTCCTTTCTTTCTATAATGTGTTTAACCAAAAGCCTTGACTATTGGAATGTGTTAAGTCAATCCATTCAGGACCATAACATATCATCACGCTTTTACAATTAGCAAATTGCATTTCCCTTTGACGGCTTTCACTCTACTCTAAGTGTCATTTACTCCTAGCTAGCCCTTTCAGTGATTTGAACATCAAACCTACAACGTGGCGTACGCTTTAACCCCAATTGTCACATGCTTAAGCAATACACCAGAAATCTTTAAGAATATTTGAACTTATAAAACCAATATATTCAAACTTTAGGACCTTGACACACAATCACCCTCTCTATATATTTGAGATAATCAGGTCAGAATGAGTAAAATCAATCCAGACCCTGTTATGATTATTAGCACTTGCACTGGGGACCCTCTCATACTCAGCCAGTAGTCAAGCCTAGTTTTCAGGTTGAACTGGTTCATTCACAGCCTTAAATTAAGCTAACCCTTGAGATTGTATTACGTGGCAAAGATAAGTGAGCATGAAAGAACCTTTGAGCGAGTGGTAGCTTAGATAACAATTCACCATTATCAAGCTTTCATCATGTGGAAAATGCATTTGAGTGTTCCAATAGCCAAGTGGGGAAAGTAAGCTTTTTTTTTCTTGATAGTTATAGAGTTGACATGTAATGGGGTCATGGACAATTGGTCAATATAAAGAGTTGCTCTTTGATCACAACCCTGGTTGGGCCATATGACTCCTCCATGCAATGGAAAGAGAGAGTGCTGGAATAACCTAGACTATGGTCTGAAAAATCTAGTCTCTGTGTTTGCCATCTACTCTATCTATCATAATTGAGTTTTGATTCTTCACCAAAAAAACAAAAGTATTTGTCAAGAAAAATTTCACACGGCTCACTCATCCACTATCCACCTCAGAAAGGAATGGCATTTTCAGTTCATCAAAGTTATCTCATTGAATAAGGGACAACCTTAGACCATTTATACACTCAATGGCCCAACCCACATCTGGAGCTGTCAATGGGTCAGGTCTGGTTCTGGGCAAGGTGGACCAGTCCCGAATCGATTATTAATCGGTTCCTATAAAATAGAACTGAACCAATTATTAATTGAGATAATTGGGTCTTATCTGATTTAACCCATTTATACTTGACATCTACAACTACTTATGACAATAATAACTTACAACTTCATTTCTAATAATATAATATATTAATAAAAAAGATTGTAAATACTAAACTATTTAAATGTTGATAGAACAAGTGTTTTTGACCAAAATTATCTTATATGCTGTCTGTAAAGTTTATTCTTTTTGACATAAAATATAACAAAAAGTACAAAAAAATCAGAAAACCATTATATAATAATAAGTACTTAATAGGTTCAGGTCTTAACCAATTCCAAACAGGAAGAACCAGCCCCAACTCATTTATTAATCAGGAACCAGAACCGACATAATCGGTTTGATCAGTTCAGTTCTATCGGAAAAGATCCAACCCATTGACAGCTCTTCTCATATCAATCCTATACTTAATCCTCTGGTGAATATTATACAGCATGGCAGTAGCAACAGTTGATAGTCTTTTAACCAACAAAACCCTCAAAAGAGGAAAATAAAGAAAAAGGTATTTGCTTTACCACAACATGTGGAGTTCATCAAGATAAAATCTTTCCACAAGTGATGCAATAACCAAATCACAAATTCTTCTCAAGGATTTTCTTATATGTCATTAAATTTGAAATGACTTGGTTGCTTGTTCTTCACCAAATAGGGTGGTCATTCAGAAAATTCCCTTATAAAGAAGGAATAGCACTAATTAATGGTCCAATTCAAAAAAAAAAAAAAAATCTTTTAAGAGTTATTTCCCATTTATTAAAAAATGGAGTGTGCCCAAATCAACACACTGTTATTAGTAATTTACAATTCCTCATTTAATATCAGAAGTCTTATACGATTATAAAAGTGGGTTGGTAAAATGTAAAGAGGTCTTCTAAAATTAAAAAAAAAATGCACTTATTCAGATAAGTACATTTATTCATATTCTTTTATTTCCTAAATAAATAAGACAATGATCATTTTAGTCATATATAAACAAAACCATTATTAAAGGGGACAATTTTGTCTCATCCAACTTCCAAGTGTTCGGCAACTTTTTCCCCATACGAAAAAGTTATTTATCCACCTAGGAGATGGATATTCAGGAAAAATAAATTTTTCATGCACTCCACATAATCTGATAAAAAATAAAAAAAAAAAAAGAAACATGAGTTTTTTTTAATCAATAGGAACCAAAATCCCATTGGCCAACTCTCCCTTCTCTCAAAATCAAAAAAGAAAAAAAAAAAAAAACAGACTCTAAACTTTTAAACCCTAAACCATGCCCATAAATCTAATTTTAAGTATGAAATGACTATGGTAAAACACATGTCCTCCAACCTGATAAGAACCAAGTATTTTCTTAAAAGGTAAACTAAGAATTCCATTTCCAAGTCAAAGAGAGAATTTATGGCCCTAGACTACAGTTCCAAAAGGATGTTTGAGCAAACCCCATTGGGGCTGTGTGGTTCAGGAGTGAGCACAACGCTAACCCTCGGCCACATTTGACAAACCTATATAGAAAATGTGGCACAAGTCTAGAATCACCAAAGTTGGAAGCAACACTTGTACAGTCTTCTGGATGCCCCAAGTGACAAGGCACATTGAATGCTAAGGCTACCATTTCTGGGTTTATCTTCAATTTGCACAGTTTTCTGTTTCACATCTTTCTACTTTCAACATGAGAGCTATGTGGTTAGGTACTGTTGGAAAAAGGGTGTCCTGAACCATGATGTGTTCCCTCCTGATCAACTACCCTCTCTCCACGTATGAAACATGAAGATAGACCTACCATCAAATGGGTCAATTCTTAGAGATTTTCTAGACCCGAAATCTGCATAGCTAAATGTTTCTTTCTGTTGATTTCTTCGCTTTTATAGTAACCCATTCTATTTCTGAAACGTTTTACATTAAAAGCTTGTTATCACATAACCATGTCGACATTATAGCTTGAATTCTTAGCATTATGACTTTAGGAATTCCAATTATTACACTATCCTCCTTCACATGTTTTTTTTAAATTTAGGTCAGTAGTTTTGGGTTATTCAAAAAGGATACTAAATTTGGGTTCTGTTGTTAGAGATGTTTTGGGTTTTCTTGATAGAAAAGATTAAAGATGTTTATTTCAAAACAGGGAAAATTATAAAAACCTTCCATGGGTTTTCTAACAATTTAGGAGT